GAATTGGTATAACCCTTGGCCAGGAGTGAATAAGGGCCATGCCTTTGCCTGGATTCTCTTTGAGACTCGGTTCTTGCTCCATAGTGGTCTGCTTTCAGTGGTCACTTCCTTATGCTTAATTGTTTTTAATTAATTACACATTCTGAGGCCTTCAAACTTACATGGCTCAAAGTTTAAATTTTAAATAGAGAGGCTTCAAAAAATAAAAACAAAACAAAAAATAAAATTAAAATGTTTTAAAAATAATAAAGAGGCTTCATCAACTGTGCCAAAAAATTGTGTCTTTCCTTTAACATATTCTACTAAATTGAGCCTTTGCATTTTTCCCAAAATAGAATGTATCTGAGTGGTTTACTATTCTGTCATTTGCAATTTTGTATTATATAATTATAGTTTGTTTTGTTGTGCTCATTTTGTTTTTCATGTGCTTTGATCTGTGTCACAGAAGGACAGAAGAGGGAAGAATGGTGGCTTTGGGGAAGATGGAGGCAGCAAGGTGCTGTGAAACTCCATGCGGAAATCCTGGGGGGGAAATGACGGAATTTTAAGCCAAGGAAATGGGAGGGCCCATGGCAAACTATCCTCTAAGTTGGTGTGTATCTTCGTAGGTGGTCTACCACTGTAAGAAATACATAAATTCAGGGACTACCCAATGAGCAATTCTAGATTATTTGTATTGATACTAGTTTTCTGGGGCTGCCATAATAAAATACCATAGACTAGGTGACTTAAACATCAGAAATTTAATTTTTCACAGTCCCAGAGGTCAGAAGTCCAAGACAAGATACCGGCAGGGTTGATTTCTTCTGAGAGCCTTTTTCCCTTGGCTTGTACCTGGCCTTCTTCTCCCTGTGTCTTCACGTAGTCTTCCCTCTGTACACATCTGTGTCCAGAGTTCTTTCTCTTACAAGGACACAGTCATACCATCTTAGAGCTCAACCTAATGACCTCGTTTGAACTTAATTACCTCTGTAAAGACCCTACCTCAAAAATATATTCACATTCTGAGGTCCTAGGGATTAGGTTGTCTAGGGATTAGTTCATCACAGTATGAATTTTGGGGGAACTCAGCCCATAACCTTGCCTAAGCTATCTTTTGGCAATAGGGGTAAAATTGCGTGTTTCAGTCTGTTTCTATTATTATTGGATATTCAAGGAGACCTTGGTTCAATTTATTTGTTAAGCAAAAAATTTTAAAGCAGAAGGATTAAAGTATATTTCTGCTTTGTTGAGTATGTAATTAGCATTAATTGTTTTTAAAAATTCCCTCTCTGAGTTATGCAAGTTAATTTTCTGCCCAAATGCTATACGTACATATCACTTCTTCAATGATAGATAGCAAATCTAATCTATATATTGAATATTTCAATATTCTTAAAAACCTGTTTGCAAATATTCCTGAAAATGTTATTTACTACCAGGGCTTACAAATGCGGTTTGAAAGTTAATGCCTAAGATAGTGTCCAAACATAGTTTTCTTTCTAGAGCTCTTATATCACCTACTTCATCAACTCTCCAGTATATCTACAATTAAATTGAGTGTGAATCCCAATGGCCTAGAGCTGTTGAATCTAATAATAGCTACCAAGCTATTAAATGTGGCATTTATCATGTTCTCAATATTTTGGTTTTCAAGTTAAAAATGAAACACCCCCAAATTCATTACATTGGAACCCAGCACATAGAGACAACTTAATTAAGTGTAGTTCAAATGTTTAACAGCTCACAGAGCTATTAAACTGAAGGATATCAGTTGTTAATTACATTCTTAATTTAAGCACTCATTTCAGGATCTATGAATGTTAATTAGTTTATACCTTTGGAAGTATATGAAAACACAAAAGCTATTAAGTGTTTTCAGTTTTTATAAGAAACACTGGCAAACTGCTGTAATTGTTTTACTTGGAATTTGACTTGTAGGTGAGTTGGCAACTGGTAGTCTTCATGTCATATAGGCCACACTTACAGAACGTGCCCATTCAGAAAACAGAGGTACAATAAACCCAGAATGTTGCACTGTCTCCTGTTATAATAGCATTCCCACAGCCCCAAAACTTGTATGGCTTTGGGGTCAATTCCCAAAACCTTAATATGAAACAGGATGATCTTTTTCATGAATCAGTCTTTTTTTTTTTACAGTGTTAGAAGTTTGAACCACAATATTGCCAGAAAATGTCAACTATTCAATAGTTCTACGTTAGTAACTTAGAAAAATACCTGCTATTCAGGTAAAAAGTGATTAAGGATCAAATGACAGAATCGTAGGATACTGGAATAATCTGGACCAGTGGCCCCAGGCCATCTGGTTTAATAGTTCTCAAACTTCATTTTAGAGGTCATCCAGAGATTATCCACATGGCTTTGAAAAACACAGATTCTTCTGTGTTCCACTCCCAGAGTTTCTGATCCAGTAAGTCTGTAGTAGGGTTCCATAATCTGCATTTTTACAACCCCTCAGGTGATATGGTCATGAGACCACACTTTATAAGCCACAGATCATCTCATTGTTTGGGGTTTTTTTTCTTCTTCTAAATATATAAGTCACCTGAGAGGACTTTTATCCTATAAGGAAAACTTTCTTGGTTGATTTTTTTTTGCCTAGCTCCAAAGGAAATAAGAGCAATGCCTACAGATAACTTATTACATGAAATACCTATGCTCAGTATCCTCTCCATAACCTAAAGAAATAATTTCTATAATACCCATTTCACAAATGAGGAAACTGAAAAGTTCGGTGACTCACCCAAGGTAACTCAGCCAGTAGATGTGGGAACTGGGATTTGAACTTAGACAAGTTCCAAATGTGAGTTTTTAATATTATACCATTCTGCTTCCCAAAGTAATAGATAAGACCTTAACTGTGGTCATTGGTCCATTAAAAATAATTAGGTGGTTTAGGCAGGTAAGGAAACTAAATATTTAGAAAAGTTATTTTGCCCTCCTTTAATTTTCTTCTTTTGATTTCTAAGCCAGTTGAATAATGGTTTATGATGTGTTAGCATGGATAAAAGCTTTATTTATCTCTTACATAATACATCATATATTTGCCTACATGACATTAATGAGGAAGTAAAATATCAACTATATCTTTCATTTTAAAAACTATGTCAGCACTGGCCTGTGTGGCTCAGTTGGTTAGAGCTTCATCCCGTAACTGAGAGTCCATGCGTTTGATTCCTGGTAAAGGCACATACCTACGTTGCAGGTTCAACCTCTGGTCCAGAGCATATGGGAGGCAACCAATTGATGTTTCTCTCTTACATCCATGTTTCTCTCTCTCCCATCCTCTCTATCTAAAAGCAATAAAAAAAACTGTGCTTGGGTAGGGATAAAAAAATTATGTCAGTGAAATATACCGACAAAATGTTTTATTTTAACAAACTGTGTTAGTTAACTATTCTTTAATTTCAAGAAACAGAAACCAATCTGAGCTAACGTAGTTGAAAATGAAATGTGCAGAAGCCAAGAGCAGAAATGTGGTCTGGTTTCAGGAAGAGGCTAGCACAGGGACTTGGAAAATATCAAGACCCTTTTCTCTCTGCTTTCTGACTTATCTGTCTCTACACGTACAGACTTTCTCTGCATCCTCAGTCCACATGGAGTAATCTGGCCAGCCACCAATTCTTAAGTTTACATTTATAGATCCAGTCTCTCTCAGAGACCAACTAGCCATTCCCCACTCCTAATTCCCAATTCGCAGTGGAGAGAATCTGAATGGATTTGTTTAGGTTAAGTATCCTCCACTGGTCCAATCATTTATGGCTAAGGAAGGAGGGTTATTCAGTAAAAAATTGGCTACCAGTATAAATTTGGTTACAGCAGTGCTTGGGGCAGAAGAGGAAATTATTGATGTGAATTGGGCTAAAAACTCAAGAGGAGTCCACTCAGAAGTTCTTCCAGTGTTGGATCCATTTCTCTCTATCATGAGATATTATAGTCAGATGTAGATCAAGAATGTAATGTTTTTGACCTATTGCATAAGCAAAAATCTGGAAGACTGAAGAGAAATAGCCACTCATACATGAGAGATGGGAACATAAAAGGGTACAAGCCTGATATGAAAACCCACCAAAATTACAGAAGCATTTACCTTCTAAGTTAGCTATCACACTTCCAAGAATCTATTCAACAGAGATCAAGAAAAATGGCCCAAGGGCTTATGAGTTTGGAACAGCAGTGGTAGGAATATGATCCCTCAGGATAAAACAGCACACATACTACATTTAAGCTGAGTCTATATCATCTCAAAACAAGTCAACCATGGGCGGGTTACCAGCACACGACATAACTGATCCTTTGACTTTTATGTCTACATTACTTTTCACCTTGCTAAGAATTCACAGCATATAAATGGAACATGATAAGAAAGAGGGATTTGTTCCCTGACTGGAAATTTTTTACATTTTAAAAAAAGGAAGAAGAAGAAAAGAAAAAGAAAAATGGCCCGGGATCATAGATGTTTCAGGCTCCACACTTTCAAAAGAAAAAGAAAATCATAGACAAAGTATACCTTATTGCAATATCAAAAGACAAAAACAAACTAACATACACCCCCCCACCTAAAATCCCCATCCTTTACACTCTAATAATTAAATGTAGCTGGTCTTGGAAAACATATAGTCTTCTATGCCATAAATCAAAAGAGAAATACTGAATTCAGCTTTTAGAGCTAGTAATTTACAATCCTTGTTGTATGACTGTTTTTATTTCATACAGTAAGTTAAAAAGTCTGTCCTATATAGTGCTGATGTGATCTAGAGGAAAATTGCTCCAAAAATATCTAGTCCCCCCCGTTGGGGGCTGTATTAATCACCTCTCTCTGCTGCACAGCCTGTAGGTTAGCACTAACATGAAAAGCTTTATCTAAGTGGCAAGCAAATGATATGGGGGCAGGGAGGGGATTTGCAGCCAGTAAGTTAACGCACACATCTGAATCCTTGGGAAAATCCAAGTAAAGAGCACAGTTTCAAATCAATCATTTATCTTCTTTCTCTTTGCAGTACATCTCTTCACAAATTGTGGATTTTAAAACTGAAATGTTTGAGGAACTCCTTAAGCACCTTTGCCACTGCGCTGAAGAATTCCGGGAGGTCATAAAAATGGATATGCAGAGGCAGATGTTTGCTGAACTCTTCCTGCATTGTGACTATGGGAAGGTAGGGTAAGACCCTTAAAGCCATGCCTCCCAAACTATTTGTGCAAAGGACCGGTTTTAAGTTTATTGCTGATGGTGATATTTTTCATTTCCAATCTGCTGTGAGCTGATACACAATGAATATTGGATTACTGGGGCACACGGCGAGGAGGAAAGGACATATAAAATACAAGCTTCATATTTTTATTATCAGATTCAAATCTAATTTATTATGTTATTTTCTCAAATTGCTATAAAATTTTCTAGATGCTATTTTCAATTTCTGTATATTTCTCATCACAGACTTTTACCAGCTTACAGGCCATACCTTGCAAGGCACAGCATTTCACAGTATAAACTTGTCTCTAAATCTGTGTCCCATTCTTAAGAATGGGTTGCTTAGATTGTTTTTGCTTGAGCTACTGGGAATGGAAAGCTTACCACATCTTATGATTCTGCTTCTTAAAAAAACAAGAGAAGGCCCTGGCTGGTGTAGCTCAGTGGATTGAGCACAGGCCTGCAAAACAAACAACCACAGTTCAATTCCCAGTCAGGGCACATGCCTAGGTTGCAGACCAGTTCCCAGTGGGGGATGCACGAGAGGCAACCATACATTGATGTTTCTCTCCCTCTCTCCTTCCCTTCCCCTCTAAAGATAAATAGATAAATAAATAAATCTTTAAAAAAACCAAGAGATTTTATCAAAAATATTTCTAAGAGTGGTATTTGGGAGGATATTGGTGTGCTAGGATACCAACTGGATTTCCAAAAATAGATACAAACTTTACTGAGATCTGTTTATGAACTTCATTTTTATCCCCATGTTCCCATACAGATTGCAACAAAGAAACATAAATTAAAAGTAGAATGAAAGAAGTAAAAAATAAGAGAGAGGATAGTAAATAAAGCTGGAAATGAAGCCCAAAATGCACATTATAATGACCTAAATATTTGTTCTGGGATGTCTATGAGTTTAAATCTAAGCTTTCTAGCAGTGAATGTGAAAAGGGAAACATGGCCAAACATTCTATTGACAAAACTTACAGGATAAATACAGACTGGTTTTAAGAAGTACAGAAACTTGGGGGTCAAAGTCAAGAGTTTCTCCCACAAGTACTCTCTAAAGGGACTCTATATGTTGAAGTGAACATGAAGGAAGTGAACCTCCTTTATCATAGGCGTATAATAAATGAAACAATGACTTTCTTAGGGAATGTTCTTTTTTATAAACACCTTAAGTAGAGGCAAATTATATCACACCTGACTGCAAGTCAGAAAAAGCAATTCTTGAAGGAGCCGATATATTGTAGTCTAGGTTCTCAATGCCTGCTAATTTGGCTTAAGTCAGGACTGTATTTTGTAAAATCTGACGCATTTACATGTCTTTCAGGCAATACTTCTTGAATTTTGGCTCTTTTAACAGAGCTTATTAGAAATATTGGATGACATGGAGGTCAAGATTTTACTCTCTGGTAAATGCCTGGATATCAACTATACTTTGTTGGCCAATTTAGTACCAATTCATGTGCCATAACAAACACAGTGGGGTAATATTTAGGGGAATTAACTGAGCTTTATTTGTGCCTTTTGCTTTTCTTCCCAGTTTTCAAATAGAAGTTATGTTCCGATCACACAGGGAAGATAGATACAGTCTGTAATAAAGAAGTTAATTGAGTTTCAGAATATTTTTAACTAATAGCTGAGACTAGAGCTCAGAACCTATACTTCCACTTGAAAATCCTGGGCTTCTGAGGAAAAAAAAATGAAGAACCACAGAGTAAGAGAGAATGCAAAATATGACATCAAAGCACTCTTTCTATCCCTGGGAAATTGTGACCAGCTGATATAAGGAGGATGTGAAGAAAATATCACTAGTGGTTAGAAGTTGTCTGGGTCCCTAAGTCAGTATTAGTATCTGATCACCTACCCTTGACCCCCAATCAAGGTTGGAGATTAAAGGCAATATTATAAGATACTTTTGGAAATTTTAAGTAGGTTGAGGAAAAATTTAAGAACAGCAACACTTACACTTCTTTTCCTGGTTTTGGCTCAGAGATTGCAAGCTTCATAGAGAAGTCCTGAGTCCAACATGACACTGAGGAGGGTGGGTAACTGCTGCAGAAGGAGGGGTCTAGGTAGGCAGGCCTGAGGTTAGTCCCACTCCTGTAGATAGAGGAAAGGTGATGAGCATCCCCAAATACCTGTGTGTGAAGGGGAGTGGGCATGCAGAGAAGGAGGCAGTAAAAGTTCTGGGTGTACCTCCAAGAAGACACATGGGATTGGTACAAGAAGAACCATGGGCATAAACAATAAACACAAACAAAACCTCCAAATGACTCAGTACAATGAACTCCACATGGTTAGAGTCAACAAGTATTATGGCTGGCACCGAACTAACTGCCCCTTTCTCTGAGGTAGGACATTATATAAGAAGTCCCCAAAGGAAACTGGTCAAAAGATATGAACACGCAATGCATGGAATCATTATCTATTCAACAGATGAGAAAAATAGTTTAAAATAATAATAATACATATTGCTGGTAAAGACAGAGGAAAAGTATTTTCTCACTACTGCTGGCAAAAATTTAATGCTTATAGTATCTTTGTAAAGCAATATGGCTACATCTATTTTTAATATTTTATTTATTTTTAGGGAGAGGGGAAGAGAGGGAGATAAACATTGATGTGTGAGAGATCCATTGATCAGTTGCCTCTCATATGCCCCCAGCCAGGGACCTGGCCCACAATCCAGGCATGAGCCCTGACCTGACTGGAAATTGAACCAGCAACCTTTTGGTTAACAGGCCAGCAGTCAATCCACTGAGCCACACCAGCCAGGGCTGGATATACCTATTTAAATAAAAAATACATACATCCTTCAACCAAGTGACCCCACTCCTGAAGAAAGAAGAAAAGAAAAAGAAGGACTTCCGCCAAGATGGAGGTTTAGGTGGATGTGCCGTGCCTCCTCACACAACCAAGTTTAGGGACAACTAAATATTAGCATCAGAAAACACAACCAGAACACAGAAAACTGAACTTTTCGGAAGTCCGCTAACAACAAATTCTTCAGCCCGACTGGTAAGAGGCGAAACCGGCGTCTGGTGAGGAGTTGCAAAGGAGGGCTCGGTCGGACCCGGGCGCGGAATCCAGACGCTCGAATCCACACACGGGTTCAAAACCCAGGATTGGACCTAGTGAGTGACCGAGCAACCCACCGGGTGAGCGACTGCAGAGGAGACAGTGGGGAGGCGGTGCAGCGAGTTGACTGCGGTTGCCTAATTGCGCGCGAGCGAGGGAGTGGGCGGTTGGACCGGCCACGGCGGCGGTAGAGGGCGCCGCCATTTCCCCGCTCTGACTACGCCCCCACATACAGCGTCACAACCCAGCGACCTGGGACTCCAAGGCGCAGTTTCTCACATTTAAAGGGCCAGAACAGACCAAAAATGTCGAAGGAAGACCTCAAAGCCCCAGAGATAAATCTAAGCGACGAAGAAATAGCAAAACTCTCAGACGCACAGTTTAAAACACTGGTCATCAGCTTCCTCACAGATCTGGTTGATTATAGCCACAAATTAGAGAAACATATGAAGGCTAAATTAAGGGAAATGAATGGAATTCCACAGGAAACCCATAGAGATGAAAAGGAAACTGGGACTCAAATCAATGGAGTGGACCAGAAGAAACCAAATAATGGCCAAACAGAAAAGAGTCAAGGAGCAAGAATTCAAAGAAATGAGGAGAGTCGTAGGAACCTCCAGGACATCTTTAAACGCTCCAATATCCGAATTATAGGGGTACCAGAAGGGGGAAAGACACAACCACCAGTGGAAAAACTATTTGAACAAATAATAAAAGAAAATTTCCCCAATCTGCCAAAGGAAATAGACTTCCAAGAAATCCAAGAAGCCCAGAGAGTACCAAAAAAGTTGGACTCAAGAAGAAACACACCAAGGCACATCATAATTACATTAGCCAAAATTAAAATGAAGGAGAGAATCCTAGAAGCAGCAAGAGCTAAGGGGACAGTCACCTACAAAGGAGTCCCCATCAGACTGTCAGCAGATTTCTCAAAAGAGACCTTACAGGCAAGAAGGGGCTGGAAAGAAATATTCCAAGTCATGAAATCTAAAGACCTACAACCAAGATTGCTCTATCCAGCAAAACTTTCATTTAGAATGGAAGGACAGATAAGGTGCTTCTCAGATAAGACCAAATTCAAGGAGTTCATCATCACCAAGCCCTTATTATATGAAATGTTAAAGGGACTTATCTAAGAAAAAGAAGTTAAAGAAACATGAACAGTGAAAGAACAACAAGCTCACAGTTATTAACAACCACACCTAAAACGAAAGCAAACTAAAAGGACAGCTAGATCAGGAGTGGAAATATAGAAATGAAGATCTCAAGGAGGGTTAGCAACAGGGGAGGGGGAGGAGGAGATGGGGGGAGAAGGTACAGAAAATAAGTAGCATAGACAGTAGATAGAAAATAGATGGGGGGGGCAAGAATAGCATGGGAAATATAGAACCTAAAGGACTTGAGACACATGGACATAAACTAAAGGGGGGTAATGGTGGGGTTGGGGGGGCAGGGTGGAGGGGAATGAAGGGGGGAATAGAACAACTGTAACAGCATAATCAATTTTAAAAAAATAAATAAATTAAAAATAAATAAATAAATAAATAAAAATAAAAAGAAAAATGGCCCAGGATCACAGATGTTTCAGACTCCATACTTTCAAAAGAAAAAGAAAATCATAGACAAAGTATACCTTATTGCAGTATCAGAAGACAAAAACAAACTAACATACACCCCCCCACCTAAAATCCCCACTCCTAAAATTTTTATTCCAAAGAAATAAAAGCATGAGTAAATAGAAAATACATGTACAAGAATGATTTCTATGTCATTTAGATGAGAGAGAGAGAGAGATTAAGGGAATGCTTATGGGTAGAGGGAAATGTTTTTAAAATAATGGTACATCTGTATCTTGGAATATCATGCAGTCTTTATACAAAT